TCTTCACTTCTGGAAGAAGGAATTGCTATGTGATATAGGCCGTGGCTTAGGTACTTATGAAGAACATGAACTCACTAGAACGATGACAAAATTTCGAGTAACCGTTGATGGTCTAAAACCTCTCATTCAAGAGACTGTGCTAGAGTTCCACACCGGAGAAGAGGCAATTGTCACCCTTGAGTACGAAAGGCTTGCTTCTCACTTTTCATCTTGCCTCATGCTAACTCACGAGAAGAATGACTGTCCAGAAAGAGCTATACATCCAGTCGGCACTGGAGGTTAGAGACAAACATACTCCAAGAGGGAGTCGGGTAACTACAGAGATAACGATTACAACCTGCAGAAATAAGTGCATCTCAACCGCAAAGGGCACTCCTCATACTACAATCCTAAAGATACACGAACCTCGTCAAATGATAAAAGGCCTCCTTACATTCACTGTGAGAGAGAAGGCAGAACAAACCAACATGATAATTACGAAAGGAGAGGGAGAAACTCTCTTGGCATCTCTGACAACAACATAGATCAAAGAACTCAGAACCACCAAGGGAACTACACTCATGAAAGAATCCAGGCAGACTCTCACCCCTACCAAAGAAACTGAGTAACTCAATACTCTACATCTCATGAGAATAGCCGAAGACTTAGAGAACTTGTGGAAAAGAGAACTCATGTCCCTGGATATTCACGATCGCCAACTTTACAGTGGAGAGAACTTTCTGATGCAGGGAATGGATCTAGACAAATCTCCCCAGACTCCGTCCGAAGTAGAAAGCCTCCACTGGAGAGAATACACGAAACTGAAGAACTTCAGCCGTCTCGTGTGTTACCTACCACAGAGGAAATTATGGAGGAACTAGAGGAAATCACTATCCAATACGCAAATGTCTCAGACCCGGTAGAACGAGCTGCTAGACAACAACGAGTATTTAATGGAAAGGAAAGGGGCCTATGGCGGAAACAGCGGCTAATATCATGGCATCAACAGTTACAAATCTCCACAACACAGCCTCCTTGCCGATGGTACAAGAGAACATGGTATAGCAGACAATGAATACTGATCTTCCTCCTCATCCAGACACCATCACGGTTGAGCAAAGAGAGGCAGACCACCGCTTGCAACAAGACTCAACTCTAATCCTCTGCTCAGAGGCTCGAGTTCTAAAAAGATGAGGAAAGCTAATCTGATCCATATATCTTCTAATGTCCGCAACACTCAAAGGAATCAAACATCGAGACAACTAGCTGCCTCTACTCCCCACCTCAACCAACAAGCAATCGGAACAACTTTCCCTAGTTCCGTTAAAAAATCTATGGATTTTCGGGTCCAGGCAGATCAAGCTCCCTAGCGGTGGCGGCT